GCTACAAGAGTACAGGAGCAGGGGATGAAGTGGCTACAAGATTTTAAAACCCTGTGGATGAGTCGGCCGGCTAGTAAATAAGTGAAATAGGCAAAACTGGAATTTTGCGACTCGTCCAAACATTTCCTATACTGTATCTGGTTGGGGTTGGTTGTGTTGCAGGTTTTATGGTCCCCGAACACAACAGGACCTTCCATTGATGTGACATCAGCCGAATATTTACACCAGAAACATATAAACATAAACAGAGCCGCTCCACATAACACCAATGTCGGCTTCTGCTCTGTGATTCGTAGACATGGAGACCCGCAAAAACATTTGTTTCCTTTCTGATCAAATCGGATTTTTATTTTTGGGATTTCAGATCCAAAATTCCGCTCGTTATGTGGATTTTGGATCCGTCTGATTTTTCATTTCTGATTTATTCGGATGGGGATCTTTCAATATTATTATGATTTCATTATTTTGTTTTCATTTTTATTATTACATTTTTAGTTATTTTTTTCTAATTACTATTATTTTATATTTAATATTTTTTTTGTGGTCACTTTAGTTCTTACGCCGTGTGATCTCCTACTGCTCTTATTGACTCTCTCTACTCAACAACAGAAAGTCACATGTCCGTGCCTATACTACAACCCGCAACAGCCAAAAAAACCCCAATCTGATTGGCCAAAGAACAGTCACATGTCCGATTTAGTTTCCTTTTGAACTAAATTCGAAAGCATCTGAATTTTCATTATACGTACATTCGGATTTGGACTCGCTCGAATTTGGAAACTTGGATGCCTCTGAATGTCCAAATTTAACAAAATTCATACAAATATCCATTTATAACTAAATCTATGATCTTGAATATTAGCCCCTCGAAGTTCCACCTGATGCTACCAATTTCAGGTTCCCAAAACAAATGAGCTGTTCTCATGCAGTCAGATAGAATATGATCTTCCTGCGGTTGAGGGGGATTGTGGAAGAATCAGAGGGACTTCTTGTCATTGTAAATTGAGTGTGCAGACTTAGTCCTCTATTTATTAATAAGACCCAGCGCCATGCGCCCTCCGAATCTCTGTGGACGTTCATTTGGTATGAATAGGGGCAGAAATGAACGTTCTTAATGAATATATATTTTTTCAGGTATGTACAGAATGTATTGTAATGTAATACTGCATAGTGACCACTAGATGGAGCAGAGATACAATTCATTTTTTTACGCTCCTCAGTTCCATCTAGTGGCCATAATGTGATATTACTAGGGATGCACCGATACTAGTATCGGTATCAGTGCCAATACCAAGTATTTGGCCGAGTACTCGTACTCTCCCAAATGCTCCCGGTATCAGGAAGCCCGGAGGTGAGTCATTACACGCCGCCCGGCTTCCTGATTGGCCAGCTCCATGCTCCTTCGTCACCAGGGAGCATGGAGCTGGCAGTCCGATCAGGAAGTTGGGGGGTCGGTAATGACTCGCTTCCTGGTTGGCTGGGAAGCCGACTCCATACTCCCTCGTCGCTTGTTGATGGGGCAGCATGGAACTGGCTTTCCAGCTGATAGGGAAACCATCCGGCGAGTAAAGACTCGCCGCCTGGATTCCTGATTGGTCGGGAAGCTGGCCAATCAGGAAGGCGCGCGGCGAGTCAATACCCGCCCCCCGGCTTCCTGATTGGCCAAAAAGCCAGCTCCATGCTCCCTGGTGACGAAGGGGCATGGAGCCGGCTTCCCGGCTAATCAGGAAGCCAGGCGGCGAGTCATTACCCTCCTCTTAACTTCGTATTGGCCAGGAAGCCCATGCTTCTTCGTCCCCTGGTGACGGAGGGGCACGGAGCCGGCTTCCCGGCTAATCAGGAAGCCGTGGGGCGAGTCATTACAAGCTGCCTGGCTTTGTTAATGGGACTTCCAGTATCGGTAAGTACGGGAAAGAACATTTCGGTAGTCATACTCATAAATCCGGTATCGGTGCATCCCTAGTTATATTAAAGAAGAACTCCAGAAAACAAAGAAAACGTAACCCTGGCAATGGGGCTTCCCCCGCTCTGGAGGAGTTAGGTGCTCATTTTAGTCTAGGTGCAAAAATAAACTCACCTGAACTTTGGAGCTGGCTGGCTGCTAGACCGGTTCTTACAGCCTTTCTCCCCCTCCGCTGCAGCGGTCTAAGGTCCCTGAGCCATCACGTCCAATACACAATATATAGGACATGAGGACGCCGGAGGACATACCATCGCCGGAGGGGAGACAGGCTGAAGGGAGCATCTAACAGCCAGCCGGCTCCAAGGATCAGGTGAGTATAACTTTTTTGCACTAAGACAAAAATGAGAAAATGGTGAATTCTACTAATGTTATTGTCCACAAGAGCCTCCTCTGTGCTCCTCTCTGATATTGTTTCACTTTGTTACTGAATCCTGACTTCACAGCGAGCTTCTCCTCCCACCAATCACATATTCACATGCTCAGCAAATCCAGCGGTGACCTATATTGATCCTCTGGTCCACTACTGCACACCCGGTCCACCATTTTCTTTTTCTGACAGCCGGCTGTCTTTTCCTGGTTCTTGCAGCCGGCTGGTGGTGATGTGCATTCACCGCGGTGCCTCATCTCCGGCTTGGCTGCAAGAACCAGGAAAGGACAGCCGGCCCCCTGATGACGTGCCGCTGCTCATGCATACATACAGCGCATTGCCCCGGGATGTAGGAGTGCCAGGATGCTGCAGGCAAAGAAAGGCAGCCAATCAGGTACAGTTTAATATTCTGATAGCCAGGGGTGCCAGGTGTCAAGATACAATCCCCTGGCAGTGCAGATTCCCTTGCCCATGCCCTGTGTGGAGGAATTGGCCGATTTCTCTCATTCAGCGTCAGGGGCTGTACAATAATCTGATCCTATACATTGAGCATTGCTGATTGCAGCTTGCAACATGGCCGCCTCAGTAAGGATGCTGTTATTGGATAAAGACACCGGAAACTAAATCAGAGAGGCGCTCAGGAGACACTTGTCTGGCTGATGCTAGAGATGGCAGGTATGGTGGGTGACCTCTACATTGATCTGGAATCCAGTTTTGCTGTAAAAAAAGAAATAAACCAATTGAATAAAATATCTTTATAAAACTTTGTCATTACAGGTATTACGTAATTAGAACGAAGCATTGTGGTCATAGTGATCCTCTGGGGACACATCCATGTCCGGGTTGTAGAACTTGTTCCTCTACACACGGGCAGATCACATTCAGGGTCCCAGTGCATCGTATCTGAAGCCACGCTGCCTGCGCCAACCACAAAATGGCGACCTACTCAGCGTAGACAGCCACAAGATGGCGCTTCCGGCGGAGTGTCACTGCTGCTTCCGGCACACGTGACCAACTGAGGTTCCGGGAGAGTGTGCTGTGTACAGCGTGGGGTTCCTGGCTGTGGTCGCTGGGTGATGTTGGCTCAGACATGCAGGTCTCCAATATCAATGATGTGAAGATCTATAACCTGAGCTGCGGGAAGTCTCTGCCGGAGGTGAGTGTCACAGTGCTGGACCCATCACAGTCCATGTACTGTAATTATCAGAGCTCATGTACAGTTCCCATCATGGTCCCTGTGCAGTACCTGTAATAGTCACTGTACATTACTTATCCGAGCTCATGTACAGTTCTCATGATGATCCCTGTGCAGTCCCTACACAGTAAATCCCACAGTCCCTGTGCAGTGCAGGTACAGTACTTATCATAGTACCTGTATAGTACTGGTCATAGTGTCTGTACAGTGCAGGTACATTACTGGTCATAGTGTCTGTACAGTGCAGGTACAGTACTGGTCATGGTGTCTGTATTACAGTACTGGTCATGGTGTCTGTACAGTGCAGGTACATTACTGGTCATGGTGTCTGTATTACAGTACTGGTCATGGTGTCTGTACAGTGCAGGTACAGTACTGGTCATGGTGTCTGTACAGTGCAGGTACAGTGCTGGTCATGGTGTCTGTACAGTGCAGGTACAGTACCATTACATGCGGTGTGCAGGCGTTTACATGCAGCAGCTGTCACCTGATCATTAACTTGAATGGGTGACAGTTGCTGACACCATAATTCCTAATCGCGCCTGAAATATAGGTGTAAATGGGTCCCAATACACACAGAAAAATACAGCACCCCCCCACACACACATGCACAGTGACAGGCAGTCCCTGGTGGTGTGTATCCAGTATGGGGGGGCCACTCTGCCTGTAGTCACAGGTAGTGTATATCACACTCGTATATCCAGTATGGAGACATGCAGTGGTGTATTTCAAGCTCTCGGGGCTATGATGGTGGTATGACGCTGTGTGTAGAGTGGGGTGTAGTGACAGTCCCCGGTGGTGTATCCAGTATGGGGTGCACTCTTTCTGTAGTCACGGGTGGTGTATTTCACACTATCTGGGCTAAGATGGCGGTACGATGCTCTGTGCAGAGATGGGGGGGGGTTAGTGACAGTATGGGGGGGCCTCTTCCTGTAGTCATGGGTGGTGTATATCACGCTTTCGGGGTATGACGCTCTGTGTAGAGTGGGGTGTGCTGATAGACAACCCCTGGCGGTCTGTATCCAGTATGGGGGGCGCTCTGTAGTCACGGGTGATGTATATCTCACATTCGGGGGGTATGATGGCGGTATGGCGGACTTTTCAGGAACTGTTCTCACACTTCTGATTTCAGTGGCTGTCGGATCGTAAGAAGAGAGCTCTACAGAAGAAAGATGTGGGTGAGTAATGGGAATGATGAGGGGACGTGGTCTGCCTCTCGCTGTGCTAGCAGATCATTGGAATGTCTTTCTCTTGGTGTGCAGACATCCGGAGGAGGATTGAACTCATTCAGGACTTTGACATGCCCACAGTCAGCACCAACATCAAAGTCTCCAGGGACGGCCAGTACATCATGGCGACCGGTGAGAAGATTTCACTTTTATTGGAATCAAGATATTCTGATCTGACTAACATTGTTATAATTATAATATCATATTTTACTACCGTGTTTCCCCGAAAGTAAGACCTAGCGCTATCTTCAGGGATTTCTGTAATATAAGACCTACACCGAACCCAGAGCGGACAGCTGCAGCCAGGTAAGACATCCCCCGAAAATAAGACCTAAGGCACTGTCTTATTTTCTGGGAAACACGGTATTTGACTGGAGCCTGTCTATATCTACACTTGATAACACTACTGTGACATTTTCTTTCCCCCAGGGACATACAAGCCCCGGATTCGCTGTTTTGACACTTACCAGCTGTCTCTGAAATTTGAAAGGTGTTTGGATGCGGATGGTCAGTATCTGTAGAACTCTTCTGCACTGTTCTATCCTGATTGGAGTACGGGGATAACCCTCTGTGTTGTATAGTTGTAGGAGAAGTATTGGGAGAGAAAAGGTACTCTTCCCAATACTTAGAGACGTTATGGGTCACTGCACATGTCACATTCCAGCTCTATAGATCGAGAGCTCAGTGATCACATGACCACTGGTCGCTCAGCTCACAATCTATTTCCTGCGGATAGCAGTGGCTGTCAGTAACCGTTCCCCGCAGGGATTCCCCTCTCTGTTCTTCCAGTGCTCTCATAGGAGGGACAGACATGGGAGGGGGCGGGCACAGCTGGCTCTGGAATTAGAGAGGCAAAGCCAGGTGTCAATCAGGGAGCAGGTTGGATACTGACAGAATTGTGGGAATCCCTCTCAGCTGCTGCGCGGCTCTGCGCTGTCAGCATGTAGCAGACATTATCTCGCTATATACTGAGCTGCAGATTTAACAAATATTTTAAAATAAAAGGTTAAATGGGGGTTAAAGCCTCCAGATATAAAATCTCCAATAATAAAAGAAAGTAACCCCCCTTGCAGTGGGGCTACCCCCGCTCAGCAAGGGTCAACTGCTTGTTATTTACTAGGGGAGCTGTGTACAGGATTTTTACTGCCTGATCCCCGGTGATCACTGCTCACTTGTCTCCTGTTGTGGACTTTTCCTCAGCGTCCTCTATAAGCCCTGTTGTCTTTGGGCCTCATACTGCTGGAGCAGAGGGGACAAGAGGCTGCATGTATTGATCTTGCAGGTGTGTATTGGTGAAGCCATATACTGGGCCAGTTCTGGCCTATGATATGATGGGTCATTGCTGGTGCAGGGGGACATTGTACGGGTTGTGCCTTTTTGTTTATGGAGGGCCTGATGAGAACTGAACAATCGCTCTTATGGTTCCTGTTGGGTTTTACCTTTTAAAGCTGAACTCCCGGCACCAACATTTATATTCACAAATAATCCTCGATGTTCACAATGCATTTAAATCTACTCTGTGTGCACCGAATGCCTTTGCAAATGCAGATAATACCTTCTAAAAGTATTGGTGACTCCATCACTGTGCTGTACATAGCCTGTTCAAAGAGCAGAGCTATGGAAGGGACTCGGCAGGTTCCACCCACTACAAGCTGCCTGCAGAAAACTACAGGAGGGGGCGGAGACCAGACCAGTCACCCTGCACAAGGAGAGAGTGCAGCAGTGACCGGTCTGTATTACAGGAAGTGTAGGACTTGTTTTGTGCTGGATTATAGCACTGATATGCAGTAACCGGTCTGTATTATTGGAAGTGTAGTTGTTTTGTGCTGGATTATAGCACTGGTATGTTAGAAATACACAAAGCAGACCAATATTCATGTAAGAATGCTCATGGCTTGTATATAGACAGTATTTGTTTAGCTGGGATTTCAGCTTTATGTCTTTGGATCATGATTACTCTGCACGGCATGTACTTTTCTTTGTTCTATTGATGACTGTATTGTTTATATTTTTCAGTGGTCAAATTTGATATCTTATCCGAGGACTATTCAAAGGTATTGTGTTTTACTTTATCTCTGTACTTATGTTTTACTTTCTGTACATTAAAAGAGAACTATGGGGGTCAGTGCTTTTCCCCATAGTTCTCCTAAGGGTCACGGGAGAACACAAACTAGCGTTCTCCCGTTACCCAAAGCTCAGTATACCGCGAGCTACAGCTCGTGGTATACTGAGACGCCGGAGCGGATCCCGACGTAGATGACGGGATCCGCCCAGCTGCGTGAGTGACAGCTGGCTCTGCCTATCTAGAGGCAGAGCCAGCTGTGCCCTCCCCCGTCCGTTCCGCCAGTCAGTGCTGGAGGAGCGGGGAGGGGGGGAATCCCTGCGGGGAGCCGTGAGTGACAATCACGACTGTCTGCAGGGATAGATCGAGAAGTGAGCGAGCGCCGGTATGTGTTCGCTCACTTCCCGATCTACTGAGCCGACCTGTAACAGTTTCATTGTCGCAGGTCAGCTCAGATTATGAGGCTGAGTGAAAATCACTCACCTCATAATTCTCCTTTAAGCATGCCATTTGCCTTTGACATAAGCAGCACCTTTAGGCTTGCAGTTCATGCTCTTATATGGCTTGTCTCTGCAGCTGCCTCCCATAGCTGGGGCCATTATACCTATACACCTATGGCAGAAATGACCCTAATCCATCCTTTCTCAACCAGGGTGCTGTCTGGCACCCTCAAGGGTGCTGTGAAATTTTCACACAGCGTCATGTGTTTCTGAGGTGCAGATGAGCTAGCTGCCAGCACCATGTATATGCTTGACACTAATCCAAGGCAGGCGGGATCCATTCAAACCTGAGCTGCCTCCTGCCCTCTGCCATTCTACTGCAGTTGTGCTCTAATGTTCAGGTAGAACTCTGCTGTGAAGGGGGACTTGGGACTCTGCAGGGGGAAGGAACTCCTGATGTTGGAGGAGATTCTGATGTAAACGGTGGGGGGAAATCTTATGGGACGTGGGCTCCCGATTTGAGGGACAGACTCTAATCTGAAGGGTGTCCCCCCCCCTTAAAACCCATACAAGGCTCCTGTCTAGGATAAGTATCCGGTATCCTGATTTGTAGGGCGGACTATAATTGAAATGGGGTCCCCCCCCCTTAAAATCAATACACAGCTCCTGTCTAGGATAGATCTTGGTGGGACCAGGTTTGAGGACTGCTAGGTTTTTCATGATGTAGGCTGGATGGCAATCAGAATCTCAGTAATGCACAAGGGTCTGGTCATCTGAACCATGAAAACGGTTTTCTCTGTTCATTGGAGGAAATATTAAACCACTGGGGTTGAAGTCGTGCCTCTAGGATGAGATGTTTCTCCCCTAAAGCTACTCCCAGAGAATGGAGGAGTCAGATTGGTTGGATGTTAAACAAATCTAGAGTTGTGTGAAAGGACCATTAAACTGCATTCTTATGTTGACAGCTCTGTTCTTAGATTGACACAATATAACAAATTGTCTTTATTCCCCTCCAGATTATCTTCCTGCAGAGTGACAGATATGTAGAATTCCATTCTCAGCATGGCCGTTACTACAGGCTTAGGATACCAAAGTTTGGAAGAGATTTTTCTTATCATTACCCGTCCTGTGACCTGTATTTTGTTGGGGCAAGGTAAAGAAATAATAAACGTGTGAGCTAAGAACTTGTATTGCTGTCTTCTTAGACTGTCACAGTTAAAGGACAGCTTTACTTTTGTACAGTGAGTTATCCTTTGACTTACCCCCCACTACAAAGTCTTGTACTCACCTGTCCTTGCTCCGACCAGATCTATGCTGTGTGGCCCAGGAGGGCAACCTGTCCCGGCCAATCATGTTGTCTTCTGCAGATGCACAAACAATCCTGTTTGTTCCTATGGAAAGGCAGTTTATCATGCATCCCATTGGTGGGCAGCCTCTCCATAGGAATACATGGGATTTTTCATTGTATGCATAGAAGCAGCAACTTGGCAGCTCCCTGTGGACCACACAGTGAAGATTTGTCAGGAACGAGGACAAGGAATTATGAAACCTTTAAGAGGGATTCTTTGGGTGCAGTGGGTAAGTTAACGGATAAGTGTAGAAAAGTGCAGTTATCCTTTAAAATGTATCTAAACTCAAAAACAAAATGTTAATACATCGCAGCTTAGCAGTCCTTAGATTTAAAGGCTGCATACATTTTCTTTTTTATTTGTACCTGGTGATCCTTGTCCGTGTGTTAGAGGTGTGAGCTCTGTGGATGGTTTGGACCAATGGCAAAGTGCCATTGGTCCAAGCTGTCCAATCAAAAAAAAGAAGAAAAAAAAAACCCACTGAGGCCATCGCTCTCGATGCCTCACCAGTGACACACCATTGACGAGCAAGTGAGGGACAGGGAGGCTCCTCCCTGTCTCCTCCCTTCCTTCTTCCCACACAACTTGGTTACCGGGCTGGGGCTGGAGCTTTGGTGGGATGGGGCAGAGCTTTGACGGGGCGGAGCTTCGGTGGGCTGGGGGATGCCTCTCCCAGCCCAGAAGGCATGGCACGTCACTGCAATGTATTGGTGAAGTTCAGTCGAATTATCCAGGGCAGAGCCAATGAAATGTCACATGTCAGGTGCTGCTTTTAGGAAAGAAATGCCTGAACCGAATGGCAATGTAGAAATGTATTTAAAGACAAGTATCAGTTCTGAAAAAATCGAAAGACTCACCGCTCTAATTCCATTAGACTGCAGATCAATACAGACATTGGGTGCAGGCTGCAGTGTGCTCCCACTCCTCAAACCATATCTCCCCAATCTCTCTCATATGATTAAGCCCAGGTGGTAAAACGCGTGAGAGGTGTTGGAGTGGGAGAGATACTATAGTGGCGTATACCTTGTATTTTGAGCTTTGCATAGAATTTACAACAATAAAGTTGGATTTTTATGGACCTGGGTTTTGTGCGGCTGATTGGAGAGATAAAGTACCAGTTTTGCTCACACAGATGTATTGGTGAATTATGTTTTTATGCATTTTTTTCTAATCTCTTTTCTGCTTTTTTTATTTTTTTATTATTTTTTTCCACAGCTCTGAGGTGTTCCGGCTAAATTTAGAACAGGGGAGATTTCTGAATTCCCTCCAGACTGATGGCTCGTAAGTAAATGTCATCTGCACTGCAAGTTGTGTTGTATTTCAGCCACTAGATGGCACTAGAGTAGCAGGTGTACACTGTACTGTACACTTAATGGGGACTCATGGTCTGCACATCATTCATTTTCTTTCCGGCTTATATTCTTTGTTGATATTAATACTTCTCTTAAACATTTCTTCTCTTTCAGACAGCTCAATGTCTGTGACATCAATTCCACACACCATTTATTTGCTGCTGGCACAACAGAGGTAAAATATATACATTTCTTTAATGCATTGTTACATTACCCGGCTGTATAATATAGAGCCTGTATCCAGATGCCTGGGGTAGGTGCTGGAGCTTATGCTCTGTCCCTAATTGTCTGAACTTTAGTCAGAATTTTGATATGTGCTATTCTTTAGAAAGAATGTTATGTGTCATATATTGTAAAGTGTTCTGTACACTGTATATATGCAACATGTGCATTCTACCAATGAAGGAGACTGGGCTGCTCATGCCACATGCATCCTAGCAAATGGAGGACGCTGGGCAGCTCAAGCCACCTTCATCCTTGCAATGGAGGACACTGGGCAGCTCAAGCCGACTCCATCCTAGCAATGGAGGACATTGGGCAGCTCAAGCCACCTGCATCCTAGCAATGGAGGACGCTGGGCAGCTCATGCCACATGCATCCTAGCGATGGAGGACGCTGGGCAGCTCAAGCCACCTGCATCCTAGCGATGGAGGACGCTGGGCAGCTCAAGCCACCTGCATCCTAGCGATGGAGGACGCTGGGCAGCTCAAGCCACCTGCATCCTAGCGATGGAGGACGCTGGGCGGCTCAAGCCACCTGCATCCTAGCGATGGAGGACGCAGGGCGGCTCAAGCCACCTGCATCCTAGCGATGGAGGACGCTGGACAACTGAAGCCACCTGCATCCTAGCGATGGACGCTGGGCAACTGAAACCACCTGCATCCTAGCAATGGAGGACACCGGGCGGCTCAAGCCACCTGCATCCTAGCATGGAAGGATGCTTGGTGGCTCCTGCCGTCTAATGTCTTTTGTTGCGAGGATGCAGGTGGCTCCAGTAGAGTGCATTTGCGCTTTGCATGTAAACTTTAGGACAAATGTTTTCATGCGTACAATATTGTCCATACTATCAGACCAGATTGTTTACTTTGATACTACGGATCTGAGCGCATCACCGGTTTACTGATCTATATGTGTACTGAAAAAACACGTAGCATTTTTTTTCTTAATGGCCCCATGCATTAACCCTTTAGCATGGTGAAGGAGTAGATAATACTGTTTATGCAGACAGCACCCCATTGTTGCCAGCCACTGGAGCATTTCCCAAAGGAGGGACTCATTTCTGAGAAGGGAAAAAGGTAGTTGAGCTCAAAGCAACGCCCTGGGTGTCACTAGAACAGTGCACAAGGGAAAATCATCCCAATGGGGACACAAACAGCAATACGAAAAAAAGACAATGACAGCAGGCTTTACCCTTCAATCAACCACAAATATAAAGATTGTTTGGTAATTGTAGGATATTCAGTCTACGTTCCCAAGATTTCATAACATATCAAGGATGAACATCTAGACTAATTCAGCATAGCAGACAAGCAGGCCTACCATAAAAATTGGAAGGTCTGCTTCACTGAGACCGCTTCCCCCCCCCCTCCCCCCAAAAAGAATTTGTTGACAAAAAGTTGATAGAAAATACTTATCTCTGTCCCATCTTGCTGATGGCACAGGTGACTGTACCGCTGCCACTTGAGACGGCTGAGCGCTCAAAATCCCGCAAGAATGCACCCCAGCCCATTGCAGCAATGCATTCTTGCGGTGACCTTACCCTTTGCCTTCCAGAAGTGCCGGAAGCTGGGACCGTGGTAAGTATTTTTTAAATCTTTTGTTTGGTCACATCTTTATTTTTAATTTTTTTTCAGCTTATTTTGTTTGAGTGGGTTGGGAGCTGGCATCGAAGGTGCGCTTTAATTTGTGTGTATGTAAATTGGTGTTTGTAAGTTAAATCAACTCCACAATTCTTGGAATTACAAGTTGCATTTCGGTCACTTATTTCCAAACCTAGACTAATATTTAAATACTTTTTGTTATAATCTTCTAGGGGAAGGTGGAATGCTGGGATCCACGGACAAGAACGCGGGTGGGGATTCTGGACTGCGCCTTGAACAGTGTTACAGAGGATACAGAGTAAGTTAAACAAGTAAAAGATTTATATTTATAGATTTTATCATTTTCACACAAAATTAAATCACCTACAAATCATCTGTGTCATCAACATATATGTGCATCTGAACAGGTCATATTCAGAAATGCGGAATTCCTATCGCCCGACGCCCGCAACATGTAGTTGGGTTTTTTTCTACATTTAGCCCTGCTTCGGGCAAGCAGGGCTAAATGTAGAGCGGGGGAAGCCACCGCTCGTTTTTGTACAAGTGATCCTCCCGGATCACTTGTATAGCAGCCTGCTCTTCCCTGCCCCCTCCCCGCCTGGGGTTTGCGGGCTCTTCTGGGAACATGGTAATTTCAGGAACCGCTCTACTGGGGGACCCAGGACCATGGCAGTAATTTCAGGATGGAGAGCGGGGGTCAGATCGGAGCAGTGATCAGTGAGCTGTACTCGGAGCCTTCCTGTGTCAGCTGTCACATGTGGAACTGTACAGAAGATCCAGCACAATGCTGTGCTGGATGTTCTGTACTGGAGGGCAGGCTTCATAAAGAGAGCCTGTCACCTCCAAATTATATCACATAGGGGCTTGTTAGCGCCTGTGTGATATCAATAAAGTTAAGTGGAAAAAAATGATGATAAAATGCAAAATAATAAAATAAAAGAAATGAAAAACTGATAAATAGGTAAAAAAATAAATACAAATTAAAATAAAAACTAACCCCCCCTCCTACCATCTGCATGTGAATAAACGCATGCGTAGGGCATTGTGTGCCCTGCGCTATGAAGTTTGAATTTCACTCGCAAATTGCGAGCACTCATTGGTCAGTGCAGTCAGGTGACCACGCTGACCAATAAGTAGCGCTTCTTAGCACTGTTACACATTTTTTTTTTTTAACCAAAACCATATTTATCAGGACAAGCAGATTCGTCCCCCGCTTTAGTCTTTGGACAAGTAAGTTTTTTTTTTTTTAATTTCCACACCCCTGGTGTTATATAATTCCCCCGAGATTTCAGAAAAACAAAACCAGCCATGCATGTGGAAGCTTATTGTAATGTATCTAAAATACATAACATTTTAGCTAATGTTCCACTTTAAGGCTTGGACTTTTTTAAAGGGGACCTGAACTTCAACAAGTCCAGATTTGTTGTTTTATTGTGAGCAGGAGCTGAGCGGGACACTCTGGCCTGGACACTTGGGCATCTTGTATCTGATTGCTAGTGTCATGAGACTTAGAAAGAGACAAGACCGTCCCTACATCTCATTGGGCCACTGGGTTTGCCACCCCCTTGCTGGCCAGAGCATCACAGGTTGCTGGGACCCCCCTAGTAACGAGCATCCATCACCAGCGCACCCCCGACTGCTCATTAAGCAGTCAAGCGTTAGCACCTAACCGCTAGAACCTGCGTGGTAACGAGCATCCACTGCCAGCATATAGCAGATAGTGTAGGGACACCCCTGGAGTGATTTATGTCCCTACTGTGCTCTTCATCATTCTTGCTGCAGAGAAAACTGTACCTGAGGACCTGCAGTGGGAGGATTTCCCTGCTTGGTTTCATCCTGTCTGTGGATCTGTGCTTCTTCTACCCCCCCCTACTGTTCTTTAGATCATAACCTACTAGTCATTAGAATACCAAACACAACAAAGGAAAGCTCTGATATTAAGAAGAAAAGCTCTGCTCATCTACCAAGATGGTGACCTCCACACAGAGGCACAAGACATGGTGGGTCAGTAATGAGGGAAGGAACAGCTGCAGGGAGCCTACAGGTCTTACCGGTGACTAGTTCTTTGTCCTCTGCTTTCCTTTTTATACAAAACTTCCACAGTACAGATCCTTATCAAAAACTTTGAATAGTTTAATTAGTTTAATCCTGGTTCCAAGTGTTTTAATTTGCTCATTTATGAATATATATTTTATTATTTATTTAATTATTTTCTTTGCTTAAAAGTGTTCCAATAAATTGCTCTTTCTGTGGCTTCAATATATCGCATGTCTGTCTGATTTATCTATGCTAGGTAGAAAAGATAATGCTTTCTGTTATCTCCTCCTTTCAGAATTAATGGCATACCATCTGTATCTGCCCTGAAATTTAATGGACCTCTGCAAATGGCTGTAGGCACTTCAACCGGCCAGGTATAGACAGCACAGTACATAGGCTAACCCCCCTCATGATATTATAACTGTTCAGGTTACATTGGATATCGGGATGGGATGGAGAGGTTCTATGCAGATCCCATATTTGTGGGGAGGAAAGAAATGTTCTTTTCTTGCCTAGTCAGACTTTTCGCTGATTTGATAAGAGAAATAATATTGTGTATTTCAGCAAGACATTAAAGGAGAACTATGGGGGTCAGTGTTTTTCCCCATAGTTCTCCTAAGATTCACGGGAGAACACAAACTAGCGTCCTCCCGTCACCCAAAGCTCAGTATACCGCGAGCTGTAGCTTGCGGTATACTGTGACCGCCACAGCCGGGACGGATCCAGTCATTACTGTTGAGATCCACCCAGCTGCGTGATTGACAGCTGGCTTTGCCTATCTAGAGGCAGAGCCAGCTGTACCCTCCCCCGTCCGTTCCGCCAGTCACTGCTGGAGGATCAGACGGGAGTGGGGGAATCCCTGCAGGGAGCCGTGAGTGACAGTCACGGCTCTCTGCAGGGACATGATCGAGAAGTGAGCGAGCGACTGTATGTGTTCGCTCACTTTGCGATCTATTGGACCGCGTGTTTGACAGCTTCATTGTCACACGTCGGCTCAGATTATGAGGCTGAATGATTTTCACTCACCTCATAGCTCTCCTTTAATTCTGCTTGGTATTACTGCCTCCAGATTTTCTCCATCTCAACATAAGCGAAGATGAAGTATCAAAAACAAATGTATTTTCATATTCACTGTAGAGCTGCAGCTAACGATTATTTTCAAAATCGATTAGTTAGCCGATTATTAAGTTCGATTAATCGGATAAACAATAAAATAGCACACTTCCTAACATCCATGGTCACAATGTTCCACCCATTGTATAGCTGGCCATGTGCACAGCCTTATTGCCAGTAGATAGCGCTGAGGAGCATAGGAATTTGCTATGCTCCACAGTGCCATCTAGGGGTGATGGGAGTCTTTTGGTTAGGGGTGCACAGATACCGATATTAGTATCATTGCCTATACTGAGTATTCGGGTGATTACTCGTACTCGCCCAAATGCTCTGATACCTTACCCGATACTGGAACTTCCGGTCAGAGGAAAATTTCCTCTGACCGGCAGCGCCATAGGGGGAACATTGAGCCTGCTTCCTGGGCAATCGGCAAGCTGGGTGGCGAGAAATGACCCGGCTTCCTGATTGGCTGGGAAGCCGGCTCCATACTGATTGGCTGAGAATCCGGTTTCCCGGCCAATCACAATCGAGCCGGCTTCCCGCTCGGCTTCCTGATTGCCCGGGAAGCTGGCTTCATGCCAGCGGAAGCGCCATTATCGGTACTCGGTATCGGCGAATACAGAAACCAAAATATCGGTACTCGATACCGGAAAACTGGTATGGGTGCATCCCTACTTTTGGTAGGTGATTTTAGTGATCACCTGACAGTAGTATTGTAAAAAGTAAAATTTTGCTTTTATTTTATTTAAGATGAAAAAATACATTTTAATATGTTTTTATCAGTTTGATATGTTAAGTAGGAAAAAAAAAAAGCTTTGGCTACAGATATATTTTAAAGCCCATCTTTGGGAAAAACATGATCCCAGCTCCATCCACCCATTCCACTTTAATCCATCACCCTAATCTACTCACCCAATCCTAGGAACCAGTTGTCACACCAGTCCCTCCAGCCTCTCGTCTCCTCAGCTGCCGCAATGGTATGTCCCTCAGCATCCTCACGTCCTATACACAGTGTATAGAAAGTGATGACTCAGGGACATTAGACCGCTGCGGCAAAGTGGGAGAGAGGCTGGAGGGACCGACCGGTCTAAGAGCAAGCTGGTTGCGTGGATCAGGCGAGTATAACTTTATTTTCCTCTCTAGACCAAAATGTGCACTTACCCCTTTCAGAACGGTGGTAGCTCCACTGCAAGGGTTAATCTTCTATTGTAAAGTGCTGTGCAAACTATTGTCGCTATATAAATCCTGTATAATAATAATTAAAAAAATTCTGCGTAGTTCTTCTTCAATATGTGGTGCACATGGGTGCTTTGCATTGCGATAGATTTCCTTTAAGGAGCCATGCTGATAACATCCACTTGACCTGTGGTTTAGATTGGAGTAGCTTTGTGATTTGTCCTTTCAACATTTCTGGAGAACCTGAGGAAATATTTTCTTAAAGTAGTTTAAACTCTCAATTTTTTTTTTAAATAATGATTCCAGAGCTAACAAATATACACTGCCCAGCAAAACATTGCTTTACGATTTAATCATTACGATTATCATGTTTCTGAACAGCTGCTTTCAAGTCTCTCAGCTCGGCTTACCTGAACTTCCTGTCCAGTACAAGATCACAAGGGACAGTGCAGACTCCAGCAACTGTTCATCTACTAGCTTGGGGAGGAGAGATGCTTGATTTGCCATGTCTGCGTGTTTGTGGAGACACGCGCAGCTTACGAGCAGACACAAGGGTGATTGCATGGCACTATGCTTGAGAAAGGAGTCACTCTAAAACAGGATATGAGGGCCAGTGCTCAGGGGTGCTACAGAAAACTTTTAAACATCAAGAAGCAGCATCCATTGTCAGAGATTTCATCAGCATTTGAAATGGCCTAAATTCCTTTTGCCTTTAACATCACTTTAATACATTCTATTGTCAAAGTAAACCTGTCATTGATATTGCATTAGCAAGCAAATATAACAAGCTGCACGCAGCACCAGAACTTATCTTTCTTGTGAACACTCCTCTAAGCTCCCCTGAGTGGCAGAATTTGGTATGCTGAGTATGTAAATGTCCTGTAAAAGAAGATCTCTTAAGGTGGCCATACACTGTACAACCATCGCAAGACCTTAGTCTTGCGATGGTTGTAAAGTGATTAGAAAAATGTACGATCTGCCTATCTTGGACAGGCAGATCGTACTCTCGATCATCGCAAGCCCGCCCCCCTGACCGCAATGCTGAACGGGCAGTGTACGATTTTCGGCTGGTTTTCTAGAGTGCTCCTTAGACAAAAGATGTGCGACCGTACAGTAGAAACGGTCGCACGTCTCCGTTCACACTGCTCGATTCTCGTACGATCGCAGGATTTCCCGCGATTCTCGTACGAGAATCGAGCAGTGTATGGGCACCTTTATACTCATCTCTCTGGTAGCTTGTATGTTTTACCTTGCCTGCATTCTCCACACAGCAGCCTCTGTCATTCTTTGCAGCATTCAATACATATGGAGTGTGGAATGCTTCTGCCCCCTGCCGTGCACTGTGCTTCCATGCCCATATCTCTAAGTCACTACAAGTCTCAGCAGTTAGGTGGGTGCGTGAGGATAGAAACACAGCATGCAGTGGGGGGGGGTGACACAGACATTCAACACTCCTAGACTTGTGCAATGCTCATGAATGTGACGAAGGCTTCTCGGCCTTTTGGCTAAGATCAAGTGTAGTATCTGTTTTTATCAGTTTTCGGAGGAGAACAGCACCATTTGCCGGTGCTCATGGTTGCTTAGTATTCTCTGAAGTAAAGGTAGGTGTTGGGTTGATCCGGCCTGGTTATGTCAGGCTTGTCCCCAGTTGTAGGCAGGAGCCCTCCTAGTGCTGAAGCCTTCTGGTAGGGATGGGGCTGCTCTGGTCTGGCCGGAGGGTTCGGGGAGCGCAGAGGACCGTAGCGCTGTGCCCCCTGGGGGTGGCGTCTCAGGGTGTTGCGGAAAGTCACTTGGGTTTGGGACCCCACTTGATTCACCGTCACTAGGTCATGGCACCTCAAGCATTATCTGCACCACGCCTCTCTGGCAAGCCTTCTTGCTAGCCCGGGGCGATTTTTATACCTTGGCTGGATGGCCTGCCAGGTTTGTGCATTGACACTTATTTATTCAAACACTCCTTTTTATGCACGATTGCACTTTTTGACTTCACAGAATGACGGAGGGTGCGGGTACCTTCGGGGCCCGTCCTGAAGTTGGGGAGGAGGTCCTGTGGCCTCTATGGGCTCCCCTGCCTCCTCCCATTTGGGGGTCTCCCTTCGGGAGAGCCCGCACCCAGTACTTGTGGGACCTACTCCGGTAGGGCCCTGAGGATCGGGGTCCGCCGGCCTTCGGGTAGGTGGACCTAAGTCATCCTTGCTCCTGTCAGGTGCCCTTAGTGTCATTACATACAGTGACTGTCTACATGGACTGTCTGTCAGAACCCAATTTAGAAAACCACAAATAGTTACCTAGTATCCTGGTTTGTGTATTTCCCTTCTCATTCAGTAAATGGTGCTAAAGGCAAATGATGAGGTTGCAGTTATGCAACCAATTGTAAGCAGTCAGAGATCATGTCTGAGCTGATCTGGCTGTAGTGAACTAAAACCTAATTTGGGTAAATAAAGAGTGCAGCTCTATAATAAAATATGAAGAAATAAACACAGGGAAATAAAGGACAATAATGTGAGAGCGCTAGGGTATGACATTCAGAATATGAACACAACTAAATGATAGATACAAAATGCAAGTGAATTTTCAGGGTCTGTGAGGTTGACTCATCATGGTTGCAAAATGGACTTATGTTCTGTAATTGGCCCCTTAATAAAGTCAGGGTCATTTGCTTTAAAGGAGAACTATGAGGTGAGTGCTTTTCACTCACCTCATAGTTCTAGCCGACCTGTGACAATGAGACTGTCGCAGGTCGGCTCAGTAGATCGGGAGGTGAGCGAACACATACGGGCGTTCGCTCACTTCTCGTTCCTGTCACAGCTCTCTGCCGTGACAGGGGAGGGGCTGGATTCCCCCCGCTCCGATCCTCCAGCGCTGACTGGCGGAACGGACGGGGAGGGGGCGGGTACAGCTGGCTCTGCCTCTAGATAGGCAGAGCTAGCTGTCAGTCACGCAGCTGGGCGGATCCTGACATAATTGTCGGGATCCGCTTCAACTGCGGCGTCTTCAGTCTTCAGTGTACTGTGGCGTCTCAGTATACCGCAAGCTACTGCTCGCGGTATACTGAGCTTAGGGTGATGGGAGGATGCTAGTTTGTGTCCTCCCGTTACCCTAAGGAGAACTATGGGGAAAAGCCTTAACCCCGTAGTTCTCCTTTAAATATATAGAGGGGAATTTATCAAAACTGGTGCAGACAAAATCTGGAGCAGCTACACGGCAACCAATCAGCTTCTCTCTTTAATTTTCAAATCTTAACTGAGCAAACTGAAGAGAGAAGCTGATTGGCTGCCATGGGCAACTGCTCCCGATTCTGTCTGCTCCAGTATTGATAAATTCCCCCCATAATACTTTCCCGGCTGGTATTCTGAAAATGATATTAAAGTCAAAATGTTTTTAAGCTATTTCAAATGCCGATTAAATCACTTACAATGGCTGCTGCTCCTTGATGATCAAAAGTTTTAGCTTCCTAAAGTACTGGCCCTGATATCCTGCTTTAGGGTGGCTTCTTTCCTTGCAGCATCCTATAGAGCCACCCTTGGGTATGCTAATAAGCTGTGCTTGTGTCTCCACTAAGCAAGGTAAGCCATTTCCCTGTTCCTCCTTCCAGCCTTCTCCAAGCTAGTAGATGGACGGTGAATTCCCCTCCAGCAGTTGATTTGGTGCAATGAAAGGAGCTTCCTTCCAGGTTCAGTGGAGCTTGGGTGCGGACCGGGTTCAGTCCGAACCTGAGCTCATCTTTAGTCAGCAAGCTTTAACCCATTCATGTGTGTTGACATGTCATGTTGCATTTTTGTGCATTATGATATGTTGACGTGAGTCTTAGCATGCGTTCAGATGTGTTTTGATTGCAATGGATGGTTATGAAGAATGTCACCGGCACACCGAAAATCCTTTTAGAATCACCAAATGTTAATTTTATTGAACAATTTGTCAAAATGGCAACAAGTGCTTTCGGGACCTCGCAGGGTCCCTTCATCAGGCTGGCTTTAACATCGACCCATCCGCAGTCAATACAAGCACCCCCCCATCATCTGGGATTTCCGGAAAGGAGTGCAACAAGAACTTTTACGTTATCTTGATTGCAATGGAAACACATCAAGCAAAAATGCAAAGATGTGAGTCCATCCCTAATATTTCCAGCAGTAGGCTTCATTGTAATAGAGAAGGATCCATTTTTTGCTTGAAATCAAAATGGAAGGTTTGCTATCTTCTAGGGGACACCTAGAAATGTTCTTTTCTCCTGAACACGTTCCTTTTTGTCTGGAATTCCTCTTAAAGAATAGCAGTGCCCTTCCTGTACCCACAAATAGGTATTAATGACTTGCACACTCTATCAGTGATTTAATCTTTACCTGCTTGTGTCCAGGTGCTGCTCTATGACCTCCGCTCAAACCGCCCCCTGATTGTCAAAGACCACCAGTACGGGCTGCCTATCAAGTCCATCCAGTTTCACAGTCCTCTAGAGCTGGTTATAAGTGCGGACTCCCGAATCATCAAATTGTGGAATAAAGATAATGTAAGTCCATGTGTGAAGATGATTTATATTGTGTGTGCTTATTATATGAAATACTTGTGGTACGTACTATAAATCTATTGTGTGCAAACATCACATTCTAAAGCCAGAATTTGGTGTTTCCAGTGTCTGCCAGGCAGACCCTCCATTACTCTCATTGTCATCTGGTTTATCTTGACTAATGTCCTAACTTTCATCCACTTAGGGTAAAATCTTTACATCGATTGAACCAGAGGCTGATGTGAATGATGTGTGCCTATATCCTAATTCAGGTGAGTCTTGTATAAGTAGAATTGAAGTATGGCTGACTATGGCACTGATTAAGGATCCCTCTACGTGCTGCCCTCCACCCTCTCTCTGCAGGCTGCTTACATTTCATTGGCTCTGTCATTATACAGTCCATGTCGCATCAAGCCCTTAACAAAGTAAAACTTTTTTCTCTGCCAACATACCATTTATTTTTTAATTGTAAAACTCAATTATATTTATAGAAAATTCTATAGTCTGTGACCCCAGGGGGAAGATATCTCCTTTTAATGACTGTCCCTGTTATAGGAGGACTGAAATGGGGATAGTTGGTCACTGGCACAGGAAGATACGGACTGTAATAATAGCCTGACAGAGATTCAAACACTTTGACTTAATTAATTGGACAGGGTATAAGCAGTGTCGCCTCCCTGCCCTAACCCCCTGCATGGACAGGGAATGTGTGTAGTGTCGACTGCCTGCCTTAACCCCCTTATTGGACAGAGAATAAGCAGTGTCAGCTCTAACCCCTTAATTGGACAGGGAATGAGCAGTGTCACCTCCCTGTCCTAACCCCCTGATTGGACATGGAATATGCAGTGTCACCTCCCAGCCCTAACCCCCTGATTGGACAGATAATGAGCAGTGTCAGCTCCCTGTCCTAACCCCTTAATTGGACATGGAATAAGCAGTGTCACCTCCCAGCCCTAACCCCCTGATTGGACAGAGAATGAGCAGTGTCAGCTCCCTGTCCTAACCCCTTAATTGGGCAGGGAATAAGCAGTGTCACCTCCCAGCCCAAACCCCCTGATTGGACAGGGAATATGCAGTGTCACCTCCCAGCCCTAACCCCTTAATTGGACAGGGAATGAGCATTGTTGGCTCCCTGCCCCGACCCTTAATTGGACAGGGAATGAGCAGTATCACTTGCCTGCACCTTCCCCGATAGGTCAGGGAGTGAGTAATAGAGTACTGATGTGTTCTTCCTTTCAGATAACTGAGCTGAGAATGAAAAAGTTTTTTTTTTTTAAATAAGCACACCTCTTCACTCCTTACTGTCTTCCTAAATGTCCCTGTTTCAGAATATATTGTGTAAAAAGAAAAGGGCATTTTTGCATTTTCCTCATTACTGTCGCCCTCAAGTATGCTTTGAATGCTTTTGTATTTTACATTTGTTGCTGGCAGAGTGTCTCATATTGCCATGTCTGTTCTACCTGTTTGGTGTGTCCCCCACTGACAGTGCTGGTGGATTTACTGTGTGACACAAACCTTTCCCATGCTCCTCTCTTCAGACAGTCTGTAGTGTCAGCCCCTGCAACAGCTGCCAGGTGTCCATTGTGTGTAGAAACATGTTTTCTGACCTGTGCTGTTTGTGTCCTCAGGAATGCTGTTCACAGCTAATGAAGCACCAAAAATGAACGTCTACTATATTCCGGTATGTTGATTGTGATACAGCAGTTGATGACTTAAGTAAACCTGTTGCTACTTACCATGATAGCTTTAGCTGAATGTAAAGGTAGCCCTACATGCTATGAAAGATGGGCAAATTCTCACCAAGAATGATGATTGCAAGACATCTGCTTGGCCTGAAACCTGCTGGGACTGCTGTATAACATTTGCTGTTTGGCCGACATGTCTGGTCATCCTAAATGTGTTTTGAACATGTCTTGGGGTCCCTTCAGACCAGAGTGCCGACTGTATGCAAATCCTGACTTCTGTTTAAAGAAGAGCTCCAGGAAAACAGTAAGTATTTCAAATCTGCCAGCATACAAGGAGTTAAAGAGGAACTTTACCCATATATTTTAAAGAAAAAACTACAAAGGCATCTTTTAGAAATGTTTAGTAATTACAATCTACACACAGATACTTCTAGATAATTGGCGGCTTTTTATTCTCTGCATACCTTATTTTTCTTTTCCTTCTCATTCTTCTCACAGTGGCCATTTTTACTAAGGGCAGATGAATCCATCTCCCTTTACTTCCTGGAACTCTGGCACACGTGACTAAGACATGTGACCATTAACGTCTTCTCAGAGGAGGAAAATGCCTTTCCCTGAGATCTCGTGAGATTACAAATGAGATTTCCCAGCAATGCTCTGCTGATGTAACCTTCCCAGGATGCAGCACTTTGGCACGATACATCATTTGTGCCAGAAGTGGACCAGGAAGTAGATTAACTCTATTTGTATGTAAATGAAAAACAAGTTTGTTTAATGAATGTAAGATGATTTTAAATCCACATGCAGAGCTGCATGCTGATATGATTTTTAGTTAGAGGGAGTAAAGGTCCGCTTTGAGTGCAACGAGGTGTATGCCATCTCCTGGAGCTATTTACACTTTAACTGAGCACCGATAGTATATCTATGGCTGGACTTCCAGCTCTCCAATACACTAGATCAGGGGTAGACCAACTCTGGCACTTCAGCTGTGGTGAAACTACAAATCCCGTCATGCCTGTGGCTGTCAGTCTTGCAATGCCCTGTGAAACTTGTAGTTCCACATCAGCTTTAGGGCTAAATTTTGCCTATCCCTTCATCAGATATACTTTTAGTGAGTCCACACTCTGAGGTCTGTCCTTGTGTAAATTAGGAGAGTGGAGCCCCGATACACAGTTTTTAGTGTAACGTTTATAGTGTGGGAGTTATGTCTGTGGCGGTCAGAGTCTTGCAATTGGGATTTTTAGTTGCACCACAGCTGGAGGGCCGGAGTTTGCCTGCCCCTGCACTAGACATTTGGGCCTCCTACACAGCATCCATTGTGCAGTTTGCCCGGCCCTCCTCTCCCCTTGTCTAGTCACAGAATACGCTGTATTCTGTGAACCCATTCATGCAAAACTGGACAGGGGTGAGGATGGGCGGACAGTGTGGCTGCTCTGTAGGGGAGTCGGGTCTCTCCTGTCGGAGCGCTGTGGTGTATAACAAAAGCTAAACTATCAGCTCTCAGTGAAAGTGCAAATAGAAAAGAAAGAGCTCGACGGGGTGCCCTACACCTCATTGCACCTAACGTCTTGTATATCCACGGAGAGAGCTCTACGGGGTGCCCTACACCTCATTGCACCTAACGTCTTATATATCCACACATTTTAAACACTGATCTTTTTTTCTCATGAAGTTCTTTAAACTAGCTTTGCCACACCTCCCTCACCTCTACTCCACTGCATTTGAAGGCTGCAGTTGGGCCGTATAGCTCTTGGTACATACAGCACACTGTTGGGTCCCATTTTCCACTCTTCCAATCTGTGAAAGCAGTGTAGAAGAAGGTCATGTGAAAAGTAAAGGATTACACATCTGAAAAGTCCGGTGTCAGGGCATGACTACATAAGGCTCATTCACACCGGGCTTTTTTGTGTGCATGCAAATTCGTGCAGCAAGTATCTGCGGATACTGAGGTATTTGTGGACGGGCTCCTTTGACAAGTCGATAGAAAAATCTATTTTTGTCTGAGGGGCCCAAATACTGCTCGAATTGTTTCCGGCAGGACCCTGCTAAAATTCCACCAATTCAAGCAGTGTATGGCCAACTTAAAGTGACACTAAACTCAGGCGTTAAATCTTAAAAATGCATTCAAGGACCTGAACTATTAACAAAAATGTATCTTATTTGTGTATCACTCGGCTGTAGATCCTCAAATCATCTCTGAATTGGTTCTGAGACTGTCCTTCCTTTTGGAGGGGGGCTACTCTTGTTCCCCATGGTCCCTGTGTGTGTTGTAAGTAGTCACCGCTCCAAGCTCACTCCCTGGATGGACTACAATCTCAGGTTTAGTTTACTCATTTGTATTGAGATTGTAGTCCATCACAGGAGGAAGCTTGGAGCGGTGGCTACTTTACAACACACAGAGGGACCATGGGGAACAAGAGTAGCCACCCTCCAGAAGGAAGGACAGTGTCAGCACCAATACAGAGATGATTTGAGGATCTACAGCCGAGTGATACACGAATAAGATACATTTTTGTAAATAGTTAAGGAACTTGAATGTATTTTTAAAATGTAACTCCTGAGTTTAGTGTCACTTTAAATGTTGCTGGCTGTCTACATGCAGCGCAGACACATCCAGTTGTATCTAGTCAGGGCAGGAAGCCCATGAAAATTTTAGCAAATTGATGTCTATGAAACATTCTGCTGGAGGTTGATCTCTGGGTGTGTAGGAAACGTATAACAGGATGCATGTGTAATCATTGTAGGGTTATGATCTGAAATAATCATAGCCGTGACATGAAAGGACATGTGTGAATGATGCACATTGCCCTATATTTAAACTGGGTGACGTCAACAAACTACATTAAGTGGCATCAGGGGAATATGGGAATTATCCTATTACCTGGAATACTCGGAAAGCTTACATCCGTGAGTCGGGTGTTATAGTACAGATACAAGTTGTTTAACACATGGCAGGTTTGACAGGCTTAGTGCTGAGCTTCCCATTGACGAATATTCTTGACTGTAAGATGTTTTTAACACATTCACAGAGACAAATATGCTGTAATCACTTTAACTCCAGGCAAAGTGACAGTTAATAGGAATAAACAGAACTAATGTATTTATTAGAGGTATTTATAAAGCGCTGACAATTTATACAGCTCCTTACATATTATACATTCACATCAGTTCCTGCCCTAAAGGAGGTATCCATCTAAGGTCTCTATTTCACATGCATACATACTAGGGCCGGTTTAGACTGGAGCCAATTAACCTTCCAGCATGTCTTTGGAGTGTGGGAGGAAAACAACACAAGCACAGGGAGAGCATGCAAACTCCATGCAGATAGTGTTCTGGCTGAGATTTGAACGGAGTACACCCAATGCTGCAAGGCAGAACTGCTGACCACTAAGCCAATAAAATGTACATGTGAGATGTGGAAACCTTGAAGTGAACTTGCGCTTTGCCCAAGTTCACTTTAATGGGGACCTCACCATCAGGTTTTATGTACCTTCCCCTTCCTCTCCTGCTGCTTAGTATTCTCGGGTATGGGGAGAATGTGACTGACTATTCTTCCTTCCAGGTGACTCACTGGTACTTGGCTATTGGTTGCACAGGCAATAGTCCCCTCCGCACTATGTAAGCATCAAGTCGCCACTTGGTTCTTATACAGGGCTACCGCTCTTTCCTTCCAAGCAGTTGAATGGAGCATCAGGGGGACTGAAGGCATGGGAAATGTACACGTTCCCTTTTAAATGTTGTTTTTTTAAATAGAAGCAACCTTGGCCTGCTCTCCTTGGTCATAGATGCAACCACACCTTGTGACATAGATGCAACCACATGTACTGAAAATTGTAGCAGCCTTTGGGGTGCACTAAGCTTCAAAGTGCATGATTTAAAAACTGATGGGCAATTACAGGTTACAGAGGGACAGACTGCAAAATTGATATCCAGACAATGTTGTATATCAGTGCGTCAGCAGAGACGGTCCTTTTTTATCATACACGGTGTATTGAGGTATTCTTTCCACCATGTTTATGCTGTGCAAAAAAGGATAATCTAACCGTGAAATCCGTATGATCAGAAAGCAGTGGCGTCACGCAGGGGGTGCGGCCCGCACCCGGGTGACACCATTGGAGCGGTGATACCAAAATGACTGACAGTCATTTTGGTGTCACCCCCTCTGAAAAGTCGGGCACTCGGTCTTGGACCGAGAGCCCGACAGTTTTAGGAGAGAGGAGGGGACCCGGTGACATACCTTATCCCGCCAGGTGAACGTCCCCTCCTCTATCTGCCGGCGTCCATCACCAAGATGGCTGCCGGCAGGTATCAATAAGATGGTTGCGCATGCGCGATGATGTCACGGCAGGGTGTCACCCGGTATCCGCTTCGGGTAATACCCGGCCTCGGGGCGCCCCTGTCAGAAAGTCTAGTGCATATCCAAGTAGAATTGCACAGTGCAATCTCACGTTTTGTATGAAAAGAGATGTAAAGCCAAACCTAGGAGTCTTAATTTAATAAGATGGTAAAGGGCCAAAAAAAAAAGCTGTTTTGTGGGTCCACTCAATCCCCCTTCATCAGGGCTAGTAAGTTTTATAACCCCTCAAAACTGTCTGGACTCAAAGGATGTGAACCATGTATAGATATCACATCAGACTTGTTTATCTATGGAAAGACCAGTGTTGGTAATAAAAACCTAACAGTGATTCTAAAGCTAAAATGTGAATTCGCACAGTGGGTGCCAATGTCTGTACCCTTCTGACCGGCTCGGAAAATCTTCAGTGCTTGCAGCGGCCACTGTAGGAATAGAAAGGAAACGGCAGGGGATTCCTCCATCAACGCTCATAAGTGTTGAGGAATCTTTTCTTTTGTTCATCCTGTGCTGGTTGAATGAAACAATAGAGCAGTGCCTGAGGTCTCTCTTTGGATACATTAGCTAGGACAATGGAGTAACCCATACAGAGCTTTCATTATAAAGGTTTGTCTATACCTATTTTTTTTTAAAATCATTTGCAGTATTTTTTGATCTGTCCAACTCTCACTTGGCCACTACAATGTATCTGAACTGGACAAATGTGCAGACGGGGCAGATGGTTAGGTGCAAGTTTTAGTAGAGAAGATCTGGAGGGTTTTGGGTACCTTTTGGCCCACTTCACCATAAAGTTCAGCAGATGTCTCATTGTTTTCTTGTCTCGCAGCGTCGTGTTAATATCCACAAGTGCTCGGTAGTTGTGTATTTTTATCTGCCTATCTCAATGGGATCAGCGCAGATGTGTTGGGAGAGTTCGGGAGGAAATAGGTCAATGTGCTAATGACTCTGCACAGCTTGCGTCTAGCTCGGAATGGAAACATGTGCATCCTACGCCAGACCAAACATGTTCAAGGGGATTGGCAGATATTAGTAAGTCAGACCCAACGTCAGGAAATCCTAGTGATTTCCTCCTGCAGCCTTTCATGAAGACGCACATTGAGCCATCTATAAATGCATTGACCTGATCTCTTCACTTATCACAAAGAGAGGAACTATCTAAACAAAGTGCTCTCTAATAAATTAAATATGACCAATTTTGTCTCCTTTTCTGATGAAGGCAGGTTGCTTAGATGTAAATTAGTTCTAAATAAGACAAGCTCAATTATTTTGGTTCCTGTGCCCGCCCTAATTTAAAGGACAAGTTCAGGTTTAGTTAAAAAGTGGAGCTGCCTTCTCAGTAAACTTCCATAGACTAGAATGGGCCACCCCTGACTGTTGGAATTTAGCGGACCATACACGGAGAGAATTTCAGCAAGTTCTTAACGAGCAGGGCAAAACCTGCTCCATGGGTGGCCCTATCGGCAGACACCCTTCCATTATCCTTCGATTTGGAAATTGAAGGAGGCAGTTCCCGGCTGAAATTGATTCTCGGCCGTACAGTGACTGCAGCCAATGCATTCTGATAGATGTAGGTATCTGTTGTCATAATTCAATAGCTGCAGCAGGAGGTTCGTCCCTCCATACAGTTTAGTGGGGCTGGAGGAATCTCTTAGAACCACTAGTCTGTGGCCATCTTAAAACGTAACTCCGGGCAAATCAAACACTTACCCTTGCAGTGGGGCTACCCCTGCACTTCAAGGGTTAAAAGATAACAATAGCCAAATCTTTTTTTTGGCTTTAGTTCTCTTTTGGGTCACAAGCGTACTTTTACTAATGTGCTCCTGTGACACACAATCAGCACATAGCTATATGCTGACAGTGCAGAGCCATGCTGCAGCCAGGAGAGATCCTGACAATATTGCCTGATTGACAGCTGCCTCTGCCTCTCTAGAGCCAGGGCCAGCTGTGGCCGCCCCCTCCCCTGTCTGTCCCTCCAATGAGTGCTAGTAGGAACAGAGAGAGGGGAGGGGGGAATCCCTACAGGAAATGGCGACTGCACGGAGAAGCCATAAGCTGAGCGATCAGTGGTTTGTGATCGTTCAGTTCTTGAGCTATAAAGCCGACGTGTGACATCTGCAGTGTCGCAAGTCGGCTCTAATTATTGGGAAGGGTACGTTTTACTCTCCCAATAGTTCTCCTTTAAGTGCTCATTTTGGTCTAGGGGACTCAAATAAGGAGGATATACTCTCCTGATCCTCGAGTCCCCTCCGCTCCGGCTATGGAATGTTCCTCGACATGCTCATGTCTAATGCAAGTCAATGGACCTTTAGACATGATGACGCGAGCAGTCTTTAGACTGCCGGAGCCCTGGGAAGTAGAGGCTGCAGGGACCAGTCGAGCAGCCCTGAGGAAACCAAGATCAGGTAAATCTTATTTATTCCACCCCCTAGACCAAAACGAGCACCTACTCCTTGCAGCGCCGGGGTAGGCCAACTCAAGGGTAAGTTTTTTTTAAGTTTGTACTTTAAGTCTCTAATCCAGTATATAAAAAGTTACTAATCGGGAGTCTTAAAGGAGAATTATGAGGTGAGTGCTGTTCAATGAAACTGTCACAGGTCGGCTCAGTAGATAGGGAAGTGAGCGAACACATACCGACGTTCGCTCACTTCGCGATCCTGTGTCCTCCCGTTACCCTTCGGAGAACTATGGGGAAAAGCCCTGACCCCATAGTTCTCCTTTAACTGTTTAACTGCCTATTCTATATAGAATTAAAATACAAGTCAGTGTGTGAGTTGTCATAATATACTGTACTTCTATACTGTACCCAGAAGCTTGGTGGGATTTAACCTCAGGTCCTCACTGCTAGATTCATACGTACATGACTGTAGCAACATCCAGTTTTTACTCTATTTGTCTAACCGCCTGCACAGATAACTTTCATTGCTTGCCATTTATCTGAGCAACTATAGTCCAGCCACATTTCTTCAGTATGGGAACAAATACTTGTATTGTCCTTGTTTTCAGAAGGGATCGGCCTCCCATTTGAGCTCTTTGTATCATCCTAATAATACAGTTTGTGTACTGTGCAGGTATAGTCAGGAACATCAGTAGAAGAACGGAATGATATTATTGAATGGGATCGCTCTGATTTACTATTGGTGCAATAAATGCTGTGTAATCATCTGGTCCACCTTTTTTCATTCTTAAAATGAATTTTTGCGGTTGCAGGCCCTGGGCCCTGCTCCGAAGTGGTGCTCGTTCTTGGATAACCTGACTGAAGAGCTGGAAGAAAACCCAGAGACAACTGTGTATGATGATTATAAGTTTGTCACTAAAAAGGATCTGGAGGACCTTGGTAAGTGATGCCAAGACCATTTAAAGTGACACCAAACTCAGGAGTTAAATCTTAAAAATACATTCAAGTACCCCAACTATTAACAGAAATGTATCTTATTTGTGTATCACTCGGCTGTAGATCCTCCAATCATCTCTGAATTTGTGCTGACACTGTCCTTCCTTCTGGAGGGGGGCTACTTTTGTTTGTGAGCACTGCTGTATATTCTTTCAAATGGAGACATGAAATTAAGTTTTAAGGTTCAAGTGCTGTAAACCCAAACTGTGAACTTTTCCTATTTGCTCCATTTTGGTCTGTGAAATATACCATTGAATCTGTTTTGTTATAACTGTTCGATAAGTGCAAAGATACCTGTTGATAATGTCAGATGTTCAGAGCAGCCCTGTGCATACGTCCTGTGTTATCTGAAGACGTATAATTAGACTGTGGGTTGTCAGCCCAAAACAGGACTTGGGAGCAGAATTTCTGGCAGATCAACAGGTATTTTTCTATACTTGCAAAGACTTTAAAGGGATAAAACAGGAGAAAATGTACATGTATTGCAGAGATGTACTTCATTTTTTTTTTTTTGCCCATGTATACATTTTTATAGCAATTTGCATTGGAATGTCCTGATCGTTTGTTAAAGGATGATGGAAGCTTCAGACACCCAGCTCGGGAACAGAGCAGACACACAGATCCTAGAAGTTTTCACTGATCATGCACCTTTTTATGGAGGAGTTTTTTTATGATTCACACTTGCCTCCTCCTCCCACACAGGCTTTCTCTGCTTTCATCAGCAGCATTTCACTGACATGTTTCAGGCCACCTCCCGATCACAGATGGCAACTAAAATAACAGCAACTTGCCTTTAATCCTAGCTTCGCACTAAGCATAACAAGAAATCCAGTAGGAAAGCAGAATGATGTGTAGGCCTCACTAGTTTGGTTCTCTCCTAATGCATTTCCACACTGAAAGTTTGGAGTTGGTGATACATTTTGTTGGCTAACTTAGGTTGTTAAAGATACATGATTTTGAGATTCTTTATCGTTCGGGTTTGGCACATTGTAGTGATCTAAGGAAGGCCACGATATCTTTAGTAACTTAAAGTTGAACTTCATGGATAGAGTGAGTTTATTCCCCTGCTATCTGTTTTTGTGTTTTTTTCTTATTTGGCCGGCGGCCGCTGTCGGAATATATGTAAAAAACAAAACAGGTAGCAGGGCAATCGGTCAGCAGATGGCAGTGGTGCCAATGCTTCCACCTGCTATCCGTTGTTTCTTTTGTTTGTATTCTGACAGCGGCCACTGGGAAGTGACATAGACCGGCCGGGGGAGTAGAAGCACCAGGTAGATAGAGCAGAGTAAACCTTTCCGAGATAAAATGTTTCACGGGCATCAAAGATAGCGGGAGAATTGGGATGTCTGTATATTGTAATCCATCAGACTTGTGTATCTTACCCGTTCTATTTTAATGTTCTCTGACCAGGGCTCGCACATCTCATTGGGTCTCCCTTGCTCCGAGCATACATGCATGGCTACTTTATTGATATACGGTTGTATCTCAAGGTAAGGTTTTTTTATCATGGTATATTTGTGATATATAGGGAGAGCTGGGCTGGGTGTGCAGCTTTGCATTGTTACATCCATGTTTGTATTCTCAGGTGAAAGCCATGGTGAATCCATTTGCTTATGAAGACTACAGAAGGGAGAAGATCAGGCAGAAGATAGAGGAAACCCGGGCACAGCGTGTTCAGATCAAGGTAACACACATACAGCTGGCTACATTACATTGTGCTGAGCTACTTGCACTTGGTTATCTCTGGGTGGTGCAGATTCAGGAAGGTTGTGTGTCAGTCCCTAGTGAGGAGAGTGAATAATGTGAAGAAAGCACATTAAAGTGTCACTAAACTCTTAACCCCTAAAAATACATTCAAGTACCTTTTTAGCTGTCAACAGAAATGTATCTTATTTGTGTATCACTCGGCTGTAGATCATACCGCTCCAAGCTCACTCCTGGAATGGACTACAATCTCACTTTTAGTTTACTAACTTGTATCGAGATTGTAGTCCATCACTACAATCCCAAAAAAATTAAAAGCATTTGATAAATCTGTCTGATGTGCGTTTGGAATCTGCAAAATGTACTCTTTCTTTTGTAGAAACTACCAAAGGTCAACAAGGAACTGGCCCTCAAGTTATTAGAAGAGGAAGAAGACGAGCGGCCATTGCAGAAAAAGAAACAAAAGGTAAGGGTTAACCTGCATAGGTAAGGCAAAATTAAAGGTGAACCCTGGGCACAGCATTTTTTTATTTAAATACTTTCCTCAATAGCCAGAAAGGATATCAATCTACATTGTCTGCATCTAATGCCTTTGCAAATATTACCTTGTAAAAGTAGCAGTGTTTTGTGCATAGCATGTGCATCGTGTTTTGTGCATAGCATAGATCCAGCAGGCCCCACCCACCACAGACTGCCTGCGGAAAACTAGAGGGGGCAAAGACAAGACCAGTCACCCTGCACATGGAGACATGTCCTTCAGTTCCCCAAACCGCTCCCCTCCCACCTCTTGTTGCAGGTGTCCCCTTCAGCTACCCGGGTGCTAAGGAGACACCCATGTGTGCACGCTCCTGGGCTGTGACCGCGACTGTGTGTGTCCACAGACACACACAACCTGTGACAAGCTATGCCCCTGCTCCCTCCACCACTCAGTCTGACTGATGGCAGGAGGAGCCTAAGGCTCCTCTGCCCTCAGTACTCTCCTGCACAACCAGGACGTTCGGGGAACAGCGACATCTTCCCCAACCCGGCGGAGGTGACAAACACCCGGGACAGCAGGACATGAAACGGTGCTGGGTGTTTAACTTAATGCAGAGAATGTATTAGGGTAAAAAACACCCAGCCCTTATCACTACTGTAATTGTGTGATGATCGACATTAGATATTTAATACATAAGCTTGACATAATTTATCCCTGGGTTATGAAATATAGTTTTGGCGCTGGTTGACGTTTAGTCTCAACTAAAAGCAGTTGCATACGTGATCTCGTGATACCCTGCCTGGGCTGCAATTGCAGAACATGTTCTAATTGTGGTAATAGTACTATGGGGCAGCACAGTGGCTTAGAGGTTAGCACTTCTGCCTTACAGCACTGGGGTCTCCGGTGTGAATCCTGATCAGGATCATCTGCAAGATGTTTGGATGCTCTTCCTGTGCTTGTGTGGGTTTCCTCCGGGTACTCTGGTTTCCTCCCACCCTCCACAGACATGTTGGAAGCTTAATCTAAATTGGCCCTAGTATGCGTGTGCAATAGGGACCTTAGATTGTAAGCTCCTTGAGGGCAGGGACTGATGTGAATGTGCAGTGTGTAAAGCGGTGCACAAATTGTCGACGTTACATAAATGCCTGTACTAAATACACTGGGGAATTTGATACCAAACTAACCACTTCTATTTTCTCCAGCAAATGCCGAACATACTCAGCGATGATCGATTTAAAGCCATGTTCGAGAATCCAGACTTCCAAGTGGATGAGAAGAGCGATGAGTTCCGACTGCTGAACCCTCTTGTGTCTAAAATGAGCCAGAAGAGGAAGAAGAAGCTGAAAGCAATGGCGGAGTTGCAGACTAAGGATCAGGTGAAGTACAGACACTCTCTTTATACCACACTCCATCTAACGGGTGATATTGTGCTCGGCCAGCAATAGAAAAGGTCATTGTAGATTTTGGTTAAAGCACCTATTTGTATGATGCAGTATGTAAATATGTAGTCAGATCACTGACTCGATGCCTCGTAGATAATAAATGACTAATACTGCCTTATATATTCCATATGGGAATACATTCCTATAAGAAATACATAAGAGACAGTTTACAGTAGATGTGAATCCTAACTGAGTGATGTTTAGTTTGTTATAGCACTGTTCATCATAACCAGTTTCCATGTTGTATTTTTCTGTTACGTTTTCACCTTTTTCTTCCTTTTTTGCATCTGTGCTGCTGGTCTCCTGCAATCCTCTTCCTGTCTACATGCACTTGCTCCAACAACTGCCACATGCCATTTCTCAGGACAGGTTTCCTGATGGTAACAGCACTGCACCATGCCTGTGCAATCTGCATTGCAATAGTTGAGTTCCAATTAAATCTGTTCAGTTGTGTTACAAGTTCCAATCTGCTTTGGAACAGAGAGCATGTAACACGGTGACAACGCTGGAGCTTGGGCTGGGGCGGAGTATTTTAATTCAAGCTGCAAACTTAAAAATATTGAAAATGACTTTTGAAGTTACATTAATATATTGAAGAACCACCAACATTTTGTAATCCTTGCAGCAGGGCTCAAAATTTCAAGTCCTGAGCTACTAGCCAGGCCTTAAGAGTTACTCGCCACCAGTTGCCCCACCTGACCCCTACCGTGCCCCGCCCTTAACTCCGCCAGGTCAGTGGTGTGACACAGAGAACAGAGATCAGTAACAATGCAGAGTGCAGAGGCCAGTGGTGTGATGCAGAGTACAGAGGCCAGCAGTGTAATGCAGAAAAAAAGCAATGTATCCTCTATGTCCCAGGTGTCCTGCTTCTCCCGTGCTGTCCTTCCAGCCAGTAGCAGCTCTGCAGTCTTCCTCCCAGCCTATGGCAGCTGAGGTGGGCGGAGGAAGCTGCAGGATCCGGTGTTCTATCGAAAGCTCCAACTCATTGAGATCTCTAACTACCTCTGGTGCTCAGAAACACTGGAGCTCTGTACAGTGAGCTTTCGATAGAACACCGGAGTGAGGACAGCTACAGTGCGGCACTGATTCTTCTCCTTCAACAGCAGCGATCGCCGTGTCAGTTCTCTCTTCTCATCAGCCGCTGCCGCTATAGAGCGGCCGAGGAGCAGCGGTGTATTTAGGTTTCGTGCTGCCCTAGGCAAGACGAAACTTGGCACCCCCCCCAATCTAAATTTGTTCCACCTCCTCCTGTTCAAGACATTTTGCATAACCTGTCAAGTCACTGGATACAGCTTCTGACAGATTGACTGCGGTGCCGCTCCAAGAAGCGGGTGGAGGAAACAGACAGCGATCGGCGCTGCCGAAGCGGCCGAAGTCCCCCCCCCTGGATTTCCACTCGCCCCCACGCAATTTTCACTCGCCAATTGCGAGGGGGCGAGTGGAAATTTTGAGCCCTGCTTGCAGTATTTATGCCAGTGTCCAGGGTGGATGGAGCACTTACTCCCATTGTGATACTTTTTTCTGATTGGGCTGTAGTTCCACCCCGGGCTGAAGCAAGCCCGACCCTGTATCCTGGTACTACCTCAGACATCCCCCCAACTTTTCTGTGCCCGCATAGCAGCAGAAGCCCGCACCAATGTACCGGTAAAAGGGTAACTGCTACTACAATAGAGAGACTATTGTAGTATCTGCCAGCTTGTGTTGTGTATGATGGCACACTGGAGATAAGCGATACAATTCATTACGCTCAGCCAACTGTGCCAAGACCCACTCACCATTGTGGAGAAAGGTAGTAGCTGCCGGCTTGTGTTTTTATGAATGACGTCGCTTGTGTGCAGTGTGCCATCATTCCCAACACAAGCTGGCAGCTAGTACTCTAGTCCCTTATCCTGCAATAGCAGACATGTGTGTCTAAGCTCAGTATTCTTTCCTCCGCGTAGAAAGCAGAGGAGGTACGGGGCTACAGATTAGATTAGGGCTGCAGATCTTATGCCCTTCTCCTCTGCGTGCCTGTCATGGCTCCCTCAGCTCTGTGTGCGCTGTCCAGCTCCATCTCCTTTCTGTGCCTGTCAGTCAGGCTTAATTCACAATTCATCTCCTTTGCTAGCAGCATGGTCGGACAGCTGAAGAGGGAAAAGATGTCGACCACTCTAACTAGGCAACCAAAACACGGGTCAGAATGGCACCAAATGCCCTGTGTATTAGTCCCTCAGGGGATTCCACACAGATTGAAACACCAATGACTTTTTCTTCTTTAAAGCTCATATGAGATTATAGAGATTAGGTTTACATATAGTTTGAACATAATTTATGACCCTATTGTTGTTCGGTATGGCAGTTCATGTTTGGTAGCATCTATTACTAATTGCTACTAAAAATAACCTTTTTAAAATCCAAACAAAAGTGTGGTGCAGGTGTTGCCTCCTCTGAGGAAGAGGTTTGAAATATCCCTGTCCCACTTAGAACTGATGACCTTTATAAATAGTCCGAAGAGCATGAAGCCACTTGCATGATTGTCATTGGTTTCCTAAATCTGTCTCCAGGAGGAAGAGGAAGAGCCAGAAGGAAAACCAAGTGATGCAGAGAGCTCCGAATCTTCCGATGATGAAAAGGCATGGGTCGAAGAAGTCAGGAAACAGCGCAAGCTCATACGCCAAGAGGGAAAAGCCAAGAGGCAGGAAAGGGAGAAAGAAGATAAACAAACAACTCTCAAGCCTCAGTTTTATGAGATAAAAGCAGGGGAGGAATTCCGCAGCTTCCAGGATGCAGCGAAGAAGCAAAAGTTGATGAGGTAGGAGGACGTGACGATGTCTAATCATCTGTCATCTCCTGGCTTTGTCTTTATCCACAGATCCATTCTTAGCACTCGGGGACCTGAAATAACCCGTGCTGCAATTAGTGGCAGAGCCTATTAGAGATCCCACCTGTTGTGGCTTTTGCTCTCTGGGCAGTGAAGGTTTTCATTGAGTTTACTATATACTAGCTGTAATGTATCCAGAGGTTTTCAGTCGGGCTGCAGTCTTCCAAAGAAAGTGTTTCAAAACTCAATCACCATGAAAAGAATGTGAATGAATGTCATTGAAAAATACTGAAAAGTAATAGGTCATAAAAATTCACATTGTGTACACATTTAAAGCTCACACTCTACCCTGATTGCACAGCTCTAGCTCTGACTCTGCAGGGGAGGTTGTCAGACCGCTAAAGGAAAACCATTGTTTTTACACAGATTTATTGGTCTTGTCTGCAGCCTACTGATCCAAAGATGACATTTACAATATGTAATTTCCTGAATAATCAATTTATCTGCTTCTCCGTAAAACTACAGTTAGGCTTTGAAGCAGCCCAGGGGTTTTCAGGAGAATTGCCCTGAGCCCCCCAAGCAGTATTTTCATGTGATGGAGATCTGTGGGTACATAATTCTCCTTTTGCACCCGATGCTAGTAAAATCTGATGTTTGAGTATAGCCTTGAAGTGACTCTGTCATGAGCGAAGTATGTGAGCTGCCATTTCTGGTGTACATTTGAAAGTGCTAGATGCCTGGCGTCTGGCTGTATATCTGCAGACCTGGAACAAGCATGCTGTAGCTCAGACACCATTGAAGTTAAAGCATGGTATTTAAAACTGGTATTTTTGGGGGGGGATCAGCAATGGCAGCCCCATTTAATTTCCCTTTAAATTACAATTCTCCTTTAGAATTACTGGGGCTGACTGAAAAAGTTAGGTACCAATTTAAAAAGCAGCAATTTGGTCTCATCACAGCCATAGCATTGCTTTAAACTAAAAACATATACACAATATTTATGCTCATTGGCACATTCATTATTAAGCATGGCAGTTCAGGACTCTGAAGCAAGTGGAGCCCCATTTAAATAATTAATTGAAAGGGGTTCAGCGTTATGCAGAGAATCCTCCATGTGACACATCTTGCTAGAAACCGTGCTCTGCATTTTATTAATGAAACAGACGGCAGTATGGCACAAACACTGGTGTCTGCCGTGGAGTGGCTGTCGAGATCCACCCAGCTGGCTGATTGACATTTATAGGCAGAGCCAGCTGTACCCGCCCCTCCTCCATCTGTTCCTCTAGTCAACTCTGGAGGATCGGAGCGGGGAGGGGGGGAATGCCTGTGCGAATCGGTGACTGACGGTCACCGCTCTCTGCAGGGAGAGGATCGAGAAGTGAGCGAGCGACGGTATGTGTTCACTCCCCGATCTATTGAGCCGACGTGACAGTTTCATTGTCTTGACCTGGGCAAATATATTTGGCTGGGCTGACTTTCTCTGATAGCTGTTCTCTTTCCCTAGATAAGGCGGGCGCAGGAACAAAGCATTCGAGTTGTAGAGACATTTGTGTCTGCACTAGTCCACCACAAGAAAGATCATTAAAAGTTAGATTACAGCCCATGGTCAACTGACACTTACAATATACTGCCTGCTACACTTGCCAACCCTGATATATTTGACATTGTTTGTAATTCCTGTTGAGCTGAGTACAACCTGTCACGTCTTTATTATTATAAAGGATTTATATAGCGGCAGCAGTTTGCGCAGCACTTTACAACGTATGGGGAGACATTACAATACCATACAAAAGGATTAGAAGGGCCCTGCTGTGAGAGCTTAAGCCATGTTAGCGCTCGTGCACACAATGGCTGGGTGCCAAAGTGTATCCAGAGGCTGTAACATCAGATCAGCACTAGCCTCCGCAGCCACTACATTCCCTGTGCTTTAGAAGTATAAGGACTGCAGCGTTATCACCATAGATTCTGAATTCCACATTCGTTTCAATGGACACTTGTACCTTCAGTGTGTGTTCGTTCGTGCGTGTCAGTGTGTTCGCGTCAGTGTGTTCGCGTCAGTGTGTTCGCGTCAGTGTGTTCGCGTCAGTGTGTTCGTGTGTGTTCATTTAAATACAGATACCCCGCGTTAGGAATAAACTGGTCACCCTGTCTGTTGCTTGCTTGTACAGGCCCCAATGCAAAAGAGTTTCTTCCTTTAGCATTGCAAACAAGTGAGCTCTCTGTAAGGAAAGGTATCCCTGAGGCTAGAAACATCTGGCCTTAGTCAGTGTGCTGTCCTTATTCCTAAGTGCAATAACCAATAACAAGTCAAAGGAATTCACTCTGCTAACGTCAGACCAGTAAAGATGAATTTGGTTTGCTTGGAATGGATTGCTGCTCTTAGGAATATCAAACATGAGTTCTGATAAGCATCTGAAACCTTTTCATATTTGGAAATGTTCTCATTCTTGTTATATAAATAAGTCATAAGAGGGATCATGGAGCTTGTGTAATCCTCAAACACTGCATGAGGAAGTGCAGACGTTATCCCATGAAATACTGTTTGCTCTTCCTTGAGGGATGAGTGGAGTCTGCATCTTAGTGTATTCTTAGCTACTCCCTATCTTTAGATAACAATGGCTGTAACGTTTATATGCACATGTCAGTGTGAGAGAGATTTATTGCATAACCTGTAAGTTATTAGTAATGATCTCGTGATCTTTAGAGATGGCCTGAATCATTAGCCTTTTTCTTGGAAAACTCCACCAGTTACTTTGTCACCTTTAGCACCTGAGCTCATCGTGCAGCCCTACCCAGGGTATGTGGAGTCCTGTGATCAGTGACATCGTCAGCAGAGATTGATGTCTGGTTAGGGATTGTAGGAAAGTACTTTCAGAGGCTCCGGCCTTGAGAATTTGTTGTGGTTTATCTGTTAACAGCGCATAGAAATGCTTAGAATGTTCCACAGCAAGGACATCAGTATTCCTTCCCTTTGTTTTTAAGTAGCTAGGGGATGTTTTTATATGAGATGCAATGTAATACTCAGAAAAGTGGTAGTTTTTTTTAGGGCTGCAACAACTAATCGACATAATCGATTATAATCGATTATTGAAAAAGTTGTCAACTATTTTTTATCAGCTAGTGATGGGAGATCTGACCCCTGAAATCAATGTTTCATTTCCAAGTAGACATCGGTGAACTAAATTATCTAATGGCTTCTAGTCAGATGTTAAAGAAATGCCATTTAGTCTCCATTTTTTTGGCTTTCTCTTTTGGACACAGGAGAACATTTACTAATGTCCTCCTGTCACCCAAAGTCAGCATCTAGCGGGTTACTGCCCACTATATGCTGACAGTAGTCAGGATCTACCCTGCTGCCTGATTGACAGCTGGCTCTGCCTCTCTAGAGCCAGAGACAGCCATGCCCGCCCCCTCCCCTTTCTGTCCTTCCAATGAGTACTGGAGGAAAAGAAAGGGGGGGGGGGGGGGATCCCTGTGGGAAATGGTAACTGACAGTCATCCCTATTTTCTCACCAGTGCAGCCCGTTCCGGACCAGACAAAAAAAATACTGCTTGTCTCATTTTCTCTGGTCTGGAATGCACAGAAACGCATCAACAACGCATGCAATTGCACTGGACTGCTCCTGTAGACCCATTTTAAGCATTTTTAAGCTTGGGGGAAAAAAAAAAAAACCTGCTCCGGAACGCGGTTAAATCACGGCAAAACACAATGCACCGCGTTTCACATCTGGTCCGGAAAATTGTTTGAACCTGGCCATAATGTCATCAATTATCAGGAGGAATGAAGTCTTGTTTCAATGAGCTGTTAGGGTACCTACAACCACAATTGTACATTTAGAGGCTCTGTATATGACACGCAGTTCATATGAAATTCCAAACTTTGCCGGCCACTGTGAACAGCAGAGGGACAGTTAATTATAAAAGTGCTGGCTAGAGACGTCACCCGTCTCCACATTAAGGCTGTGACACACTGTACACAAAGCAGGGCGGAGCGGTGGCGCGCTGCCTTTGCGAGCAGTGTGTCAAGTAATTTTCTACCTGGCACGTCGGCTTGCGAGAGCGGGCATAGCTGAGCGTGCCGAGATGAAAAATGTCATCTTCAGCCAATTGGCTCACGCATATAAATCCACGCGTCAGGATGTGACGACTGGCCGGTTTGTTATGCACAAGCTGATTGGCTGAAGGTGCAGGTAATCATCTGCCTGCACTCAGCTCACACGCTGCACGCAAAGCTCCGTGCCGGACAGCTTTGCTTCGCTCTGCAATGCTTTGCGTGCAGTGTGTCACAGGCTTTAGGCTTTCCAAGAAGATAGGGAAGTTTCGTTTTTCATGGCAATGTAGTTTTAACTTTTAGTTGTCCTTCAATCCTTACAAATTCTATGTCCTTCTGTCATCTTATTACTGAACAGGAGTAGGATGTCAGCCCGTCACTCAGTATTACAAAGGAGTTCTATTAAATTGTCATCTCCGAGTACAGCGATCGGCAGGTCTTCAGAAGAGACCTCATCTTGTTCCTCATTTACATTATGGCTTTCGCTAGTACTCATTGCATTTTAATGTGGGCGGAAGTATATCTAGAAGAGCGATGAGCATCTAAGTGGAATGATTGCTTCTTTCAATTTCCTCATTTGTAGATTCAGTACTCTGTGTATATATAATGTATGAAACAAAGCCCGGGTTGATTTCATGCGTTTCATAATGCCTAAGGGCCTGTTCACATGATATCGGGTGCGGATCTGCAGACGCAGTGCTACTGATGCATTGCGCTTTTCCCGCATTTTTGATGCGTTCCAGTTTAAAAAAAAAATATTTTTTTTTGCTGGAGTGGGGCTTTCAGTATGTTAGCTGCAGTGCGTTCATGACGCGTTTTGCGCTTCCTGACCGTACAAAATGTGCCATGCAGTATTTTTTCTGTCGTAACCTGAACGGACTGCGCACGTGAGAACTGTAGCCCATAAAATACATAGGGATACATTGGGATGCATTTTTAG